AAATCAGAAAAAGAAAACAGAAACAATACACAGAACAAACAGGTAACAAAAAATAAAAGGTAAGACTTAAGCTTTAATATATCAACATTACATTAAATCTAAATGGTCAAAATACACCAATTAAAAGACAGATTGGCAGAGTAGGAAAAAAGCATGATCCAAATATATGCTGTTTATAAAATACTCGCTGTTTTATTTATTTATTTTTTCAGAGACAGGGTCTTGGCTCGCATGATGGCTCACACCTGTAATCCTAGCACTTTGGGAGGTCAAGGTAGGTGGATCACGTGAGGCCAGGAGTTCAAGACCAGCCTGGCCAACATGACAAAACCCCATCTCTACTCCAACTACCAAAATTAGTTGGATCTGGTGGCACATACCTGTAATCCCAGCTACTTAGGTGGCTAAGGCATGAGAATCACTTCAACCTGGGAGGCAGAGGTTGCAGTGAGCTGAGATTGTCCCTCTGCACTCCAGCCTGAGCAATGGAGCAAGACCTTGTCTCAAAATAATAACAATAATAAAGAGACAGGGTCTTGCTGTTTCCCAGGCTGCAGTGCAGTGGTATGATCACAGCTCACTGTAATCTCAAATTCCTGGGCTCAAGCAATCCTCCCTCCCTCTGCCTCCTAAATGGCTAGTACTACAGGTGCATACCACATCCAGAAGATTTTTGTTTTCTTTTTTTTGTAGAGACAAGTTCTCACTCTTGTCCAGGCCACTCTCAAACTCCCAGCCTCAAGCGATCCTCCCACCTGGGGCTCCCAAAAACCTCAATTTGAATACAGTTATGTACTGTTTAATGACAGGGACACACTCTAAGAATGAGTTGTTAGGTAATTACACCACTGTGTGAACATCACAGAGCATACTTACACAAACTTGGATGGCATAAGCCTACTACACACCTAGGCTATATGCTATAGCCTATTGCTCCTAGGCTACAAACCTATACAGTACATTATCGTACTTAATAATGTAGGCAACTGTAAAACAATGGTAAGTATTTGTGTATCTAAACATATCAAAATATAGCAAAGGAAGACTAAAAATGTGGTACATAGGGCACTTACCATGAATGAAGCTTGCAGGACTGGAAGCTGTCCTGGGTCAGTCTGTGAGTGAACAGTGAGCGAATGTGAAGGCCTAAAACATTATCGTACACTACTGTAGATGTAAACATTGCACACTTTGGTTACACTACCTTTATAATATTTTTCTTTCTTCAAAAACAAGTTAACTTACTGTAACATTTTTATTTTATAAACATTTAAATGTTTAAACTTTTGACTCTTTTATAACAATGGCCTAAAGCACAAATACATTGTATACTCATATAAAAATATTTTCTTTCTTTATATCCTTATTCTTTAAGCTTTTTTCTATTTTTAAATATTTTATTTTTAAAAACTTTTGACATTTTTTAGTTAAAACTAAGACATACACATACTAGCTTAGGCCTACACAGAGTCCAGGATCATCAGGTTGTCACTAAACATAAAATTTTCAGCTTTATTATAATCTCATGGCACCACCATCATATATGTGGTCTGTTGTTGACCAAAGCATCATTATGTTATATGTGACTGTATAATAAAGGCAGGTAGAAAGTAAGAGGGTAAAAAGGGATATATCATGCAAAACTAACAAAGGGAAAGCAGAGTGGCTACAATAATATCAGATAAAGTAAGCTTCAGGGCAAAGAAAAATATTAGAGACAGAGAAGGACATTATATAATAATAAAAGGGTCAGTTCACCAGGAAGGCATAGCAATCACAAATGTGTATGTATCAAACAACAGAGATGCAAAATATGTGAAGCAAAAACTGATAGAATCCAAAGGTGAAATAAACATATCCATAACAACGGTTGGAGACTTCAACCCCCCTCTCTCTACAATCAGTAAAACAATGAGACAGAAAATCAGCAAGGATACAGAATAACTCACCAACATCATTAACCACTGATTCTACTTAACATTTATAGAATACTACATCCAACAAGAGCAGAATACACACTCTTTTAAAATGCCCAAAGCTTGAGGCCAGGTGTTCAAGACCAGCCTGGGCAACATAAGGAGACCCTGCCTCTTAAATAAATAAATAATTTGGGGCGGGGGAGCTCGACATCACCAATCATCAGAGAAATATAAATCAAAATCACAATGGGACAGCATTTCATGCCAGTCAGAATGGTGATTATTAAAAAGTCAAAAAACAACAGAAGCTAGTGAGGTTGCAGAGAAAAAGGAACTTTTATACTGTTGGTGGGAGTGTAAATTAATTCAACCATTGTGGAAGACAATACGGTGATTCCTCAAAGACCCAGAAGCAGAAATACCATTTGACCCAGCAATCCCTTTACTGGGTATGCACCCCAAGGAATATGAATTATTCTATTATAAAGATACATGCACATGTTCATTTGCACTATTCACAATAGCAAACACACGGAATCAATCCAAACGCCCATCAATGATAGACTAGATAAAGAAAATGTGGGGGCCGGGTGCGGTGGCTCAAGCCTGTAATCCCAGCACTTTGGGAGACCTAGGCGGGTGGATCATGAAGTCAAGAGATCGAGACCATCCTGGTCAACATGGTGAAACCCCGTCTCTACTAAAAATACAAAAATTAGCTGGGCGTGGTGGCGCGTGCCTGTAATTCCAGCTACTCAGGAGGATGAGGCAGGAGAATTGCCTGAACCCAGGAGGCAGAGGTTGCGGTGAGCCGAGATCGCGCCATTGCACTCCAGCCTGGGTAACAAGAGCGAAACTCCGTCTCAAAAAAAAAAAAAAAAAAAAAAAAAGAAAAGAAAATGTGGTACACTATGGAGTACTATGCAGCAACAAAAGGAAGACAATCATGTCCTTTGCAGGGACTTGGATGGAGCTGGAAACCATCATCCTCAGCAAACCAGCACAGGCACAGAAAACCATACACCACATCAGGCGTCCCCAAACTGCGGCCCCCTGAGGCCATTATCCAGCCCCCCGCCACACTTCAGGAAGGAGCACCTCTTTCATTGGCGGTCAGTGACAGGAGCACAGTATGTGGCGGCCCTCCCAACGGTCTGAGGGACAGTGAACTGGCCCCCTGTGTAAAAAGTTTGGGGACGCCTGCACCACATGTTCTCACTTGTACGTGGGAGCTGAATGATGAGAACATATGACAAATGGTGGGGGAACAACACACACCAGGGCCTGTCAGGGACAGGTGGGGAAAGGGAAAGCATCAGGAAGAATAGCTAATGGATACTGGGCTTAATACCTAGGTGATGGAATAATCTGTGCAGCAAATTATCATGGCACAAGCTTACCTATGTAGCAAACCTGCACATCCTGCACTTGTACCCCTGAACTTAAAAGTTGAAGATTTAAAAATTCATCTTATGAAGCTAGTATTTCCCTTCTATTCAAATCAAGCAAAGAAGTACAAAAGAAAGAAAACTACAGGCAATATCCCTCATAAACTTAGATACAAAAAATCCTCAACAAAATATTCCCAAATCAAATGCAACAATGTAGTAAAAGAATTATACAGCTGGAATTTATTCTAGCTAAACAAGGCTAGTCAACATTCAAAAATCAGTCAATGTAATGCATACATAAATGGGCTAAAGAAAAATCATGATTCTATCTATCAGTACAGAAAAAGTTCTCCCAAATTTCAACACTATTCGTGATCAAAACTCTGAGAAAAATAGAACTTCCTCAGCTTGATAAAGAGCATCTACCAAAAATCTATAACTAACATTATGTTTAATGGTGAAAGACTGAATGTTTTCCCTCCAAAACTGGAAACAAGGCAAGGATGTCTGCTATTACTACTCTTATTCAACATAGTACTGAAGTTCTAGTCAGTGCTATAAGGTAAAAAAGGGCAATTACAAGCATATCCATCAGAAAGGAAGAAAACAGATGACATATTGGTTTATATAGATTTGCAGATGACATATTGGTTTACATAGAAAATCCTAAAGAATCTCAAAAAAAAAAAAAAAAAAAAAAAACCTTATAGGACTAACAAGTGAGTTTAGCAAAAAAGTAGGACCCAAGATAAATATACAAGAATCAACTGCATTTCTATATACTTGCAATGGATACTGAATTTTAAATATCCTTTACAATCACTCAAAAAAGAGTGAAATACTTAGGTATAAATCTAACAAAACACACAGGATTTGTATGCTACAAAGCACTGATGAAACAATGAAAGCTACAAAGCACTGGTGAAACAAGTCAAAGGAGATCTAGATAAATGGTGACAGACACTGTGCTCACGGACTGGAGGACCCAATGAAGCAAATATGTCAATTTTCCCTGAGTTGATATAAAAATTTAATGCAATTCCTATCAAAATCCCAACAAGATTTTTTAATGGCCACCAATCCAGATCTACCAACAATATTTTTTAGACATAGAAATCATTCTAAAATTTGTATGGAAAGGCAAAGGAACTAGAATAACTAAAACAATTTTGATGAAAAAATAAAGTAGGATAAATCAGGCTACCTGATTTCAAGATTACATAGTTACAGCAATCAAGACTGCAGTACAAGTTGAATATGCCTTATCTGAAATGCTTGGGATCAGAAGTGTTTCGGGTTTCAGATTTTTTTTAGTTTGAAATATTTACATATACACAATGAGATATCTTGAGGGTAATACCGAAGTTTAAATATAAAGTTCATTTATGTTTCATATACACTTTATACACATAGCCTGAAGGTAATTTTATACAATATTTTAAATAATTTCAGCATGAAACAAAGTGTGGGTACACTGAACTATCAGAAAGCAAAGGTATTAACATCTCAGCCACCCATGTGGATGATCTGTGATTGTTTGGCATCACCATCATTCCTGATTCTGAATTTATGTGCTACCAATAAACAATCATTTTCTTACACTTATTCACACATAAGTACTTAGCAGTAAAAAATATGACATACAAGTATGTCATAAATACTGTGCTGACTCACTTAACCTGAATACATAAAAGAAAAAAATTCAAGTTAAGTGAGTTAGCACAGTAGTGTCACCAGAATACCTGTATCAGCTGGGTTAAGCAACAGCAACAAGAAGTAACAGCAGGCTTTCAATTTCCAAGTATAACGCTGTGTTTTGACTAAAAGGTTACTGTACACTGTATTTTATTTTATTTTTAGGTGAGAAGCAGCATCAGAAGCAGTTGAGGGACCAAGAAGTGGGTCCTGCAGAGATGAGGAAGCATTCCGCTGGATGGTTTTTTTAAATGTTTCTTTCAGAGTCATCTGCCTCATTAATGATGCTTTTTGTCTGAGAAGTCTCTCTTTGATTTTATAAAGTGACATGATTTCTTGTTCTGTTATGAATGCATACTGCTCTAGTCCTTCAATTAGACCATCACACATTTTTACCATGTCGTCTACAGGCACTTTTTCTGCAGTGTTACCATCATCTTCATCATTATGATCATCTTGATTCAGAACCATTTTTGTTACTTTACCACTGGACAATGAATGAACAACTGGAGCCTCATTATTACTGTTAAAAACATCTTTGATATCCTCTTCTCCCAGCTTGCTGACAGACTGCGGATGTATATTTTTGGTATATGTTAGAAGGTCAGACATTATTTTTTTCTCATTTGACATATGGAATCCTTCAAAGTCACCATCTTGTTCATCATTATTACTGAACTTGTCAGTGAACTTCTTTGCTGCTTTATGACCAGCCGATGCTTTATCACCACAAATCTTTAAAAATGTAATGCCATGTCTTTTCTTAAATTTCTGCAACCAGCCTGTTGAATATTCACAGTTCCCCTCAATTTTTAGTTCATTGTGATATATCTTTGCTTGTTTCATGATTAGCATACCATTAAGTGGCATGTGTTCACTGCGACGCTGACGGATCCACTCTTTCAATACACGATCAAGATCTTCGTTTTTAGCTTTATGAAGTGTTTTTCTATTTTTCATTAATATCTGCTCATCACTTTCAGCATAAAACTTTAACAGTTTATCCTTCTGTTTCTTCAGGTCATATATAGTGGTCATTCCAACACCATACTCTTCTGTAAGATGTTTCACACTTACACCACTGTCCAGTTTTTCCAACAACTTGACTTTCTGTGCTATAGATAAACATAAATGCTTCCTCTTTTTCTTATCACTGATATTCACAGGGGTATCTTCAGATCTTTTTGACATTTTCAACAATATATTTACACCACACAGCAGAGAATACACAAAAAAATGCAGTGAGTAATGCACATAGGTCTTGTCCCCATGTGGGGCATTGTGGGAAACCTGTTGTTGGCGTGACCAGCCTGCACGAATGCCATTTAATTACCCTCTGTGGGGCTGCATGGGGAAATCCAGATGTGGGCAGAAAAACTGCAGCAGCAGTGAGCTGGGAGGGTCTTTTTTTCATTGGGGATGCTGTGTAAACTGTGTGTTGTGTATCTGTGTTTTGACTGCAACACACATAACATCAGGTATGAAATTTTCCACTTGTGGCACAATGTCAGCTCTCAAAAAGTTAAGGATTTTGGAGCATTTCAGATTTCAGATTTTTAGATTAAGGATGCTCAACCTGTATTGGTAGAGGAATAAATACATAGATCATTGGAACAGAATATAGAAACCAGAAATAGGATCATACAAATATTTCCAATTGGTTTTGACAAAGGTATAAAAACAATTCAATGGAGGAAACATAGTCTTTTGAACAAATGGTGTTGGTGTAATGTAACATGCATATGCAAACAAACAAACAAAAAAGAACAGCAACAACTACCAAAGTTTTACACCTGTTTTAAAAATTAACTCAAAATGTACCATACACTTAAATGTAAAATAAAAAATCTTATAAAAAATAGACACCAGAAGGTCTGTAGGATCTAAGGCTGGGCCAGATGCTCATCTGGGCCAGGTGCTTTTTTTTTTTTATTAAACCAAAAGCATAATCAATAAAAGGAGAAGTGGATAAATTGGAACTTATCACAATGACAAACTTTTGCTCTTCAAAAGATACTGTTAAGATGATGAAAATACAAACCATACACTTTAAGAAACTATTTACAATAAACATATTTGACAAAGGACAAATATCTAGAATATATAAAGATATCTCAAAACTCAACAATACAAAAAAAAATTAGAAAATGGGCAAAAGACATGAACAGACATTTCACTGAAGGGAATATACCCATGGAAAATAAGCACATGAAAAGATGTCTTACATCATTAGTCAATAGGGAAATACAAATTAAAATCACAATAAGATACTACTACACATCCATTAGAATGGCTAAAATAAAAGCTAATGCTAATGAGGATGCAGAGAAACTGGATCATTCATACTGGTGGTGAGTATGTAAAATGGTATAACCACTCTGGAAAGCATTTGGTAGCTTTTTAAAAAAAAGAAACATGTAACTACCATGCAACCCAGCAACTGCACTCCTGGGCATTTATTCTGGAGAAGTGAAAACTTATGTTCCCACAAAAACCTGTACACAAATGTTTACAGTACCTTTACTCAGAATATCTGAAAACTGGAAACAACCCAGGTGTTCTTCAGCAAGTAAATGGCTAAACAAATTGTGGTACATTCAAACTATGGACTACTACTCATCAATTAAAATAAATAAACTATTGATACATGCAGCAGTTGGATGAGTCTCCAGAGAATGCCGAGTGAAAAAAATTCTAAAAGGTTGCATACCATATGATTCCATCCATACAACACAGATGTTTGCCAGGGATTAAGAAACAGTGTAACTACAAAGAGCAACATGAGGGATCCTTGTGGTGATGGAAATGTTCTGCATCTTGACTGTATCAATGTCAGTATCCTTACTGTGATATTGTATTACAGTTTTGCAAGGGGTTTCCATTGGGGGAAGCTGGGTAAAAGGTACATATAATCTGTCTGTATTATTCCTTACAACTGCATGTCTCCAATTTTCTCAAATAAAACTTTTAATTAAAATATTACACATGTGGTTTCTCTTGTCTAAACCCTGATAATTGAAACGCTTCATCAAACTGGAAAATTTCTCTTCTATTCCTAGTTTGCTGAGTATTTTGGTCAGAAGAGGTGTTTATTTTTGCCAACAGATTTATCTGTATGTATAATCATAGCTTTTCTTAATTATTTTTTTTTATTATTTCTTCCAATGAAGGCTTTTCTCTTTTAAGGTAAATCATACTGTTTGATTTTAGAATGCAAAACCAACGTTGCATTCTCGGGATAAACCCTACTTCATCATGATGTGTTAATCCTTTTACAAATTGCTGGATTTGGTTTGCTAATGTTTGCTTAGGATCTTTATGTCTACGTTGATGAAATGAAATTCCTCAGTAAAAGTTCACTGAATTAATTCAGGCTTGTTTAAATGATCCTCCAAGAGCAACACAGCTGATGTTGTGGTCCAGTCACCCACTCAGGGCCTAGACAGTCATTCCCTCAGCTTCTGGAGTTGGTTGCTGATGATTCACAACTGAGTCCTTCTCTGGGGCCGCCCTCCACCAAGGGACGCAGTCTTGCCAAAAAAAAAAAAAAATTCACATCTCCTCCCCAGGTGTAGCCTGTAGCCTGTATCCACCATGACTGATCAATGCAAGAATATGAGTTTCTGGCCTCCTTGCCTTAATTTGGAACTACTCTGAAGGGTCATCCTAGGCTCAGAGCATCCCTTGAGATTGGTCAAGGCCTCTGCTGCAACGGCTTTTGCAGGCTTCTCCCTCTGCCTACAAATTCTTGCTTCCTTCACTTTCTTATAGGTGCTGATCTTGAAGTTCTGCTTACCCCCACCAATAATCTTGCAGGCAAGCTAATCACCCACTTGCGTCCCCCAGGGTCTCAACCCAGGACACACAGGTTATCTGGTTTTATTTTTATTTTCTTAGCACTTAACACCTTATAAGTGAAATAACCTTATTTACTTTATACTTACTTATCATCTGCTCTAAGAATGTAAGCTTACCAGGACAGATCTTTCTCGTAGGCTATGCACCGCTGTATCCAGCGCCTACAGCAGGGCCTACAGAACATAGCAGACACTGAATACTGGTTGTTGAATGAATGGATAAGGTCTATCCTGAGTTGGGTCGTGGGATCACACAGCACCCCTTTCCACCTTTTAACACGCACCTGGGAGCCGCGGCTCGGGGTGCACCCCTGCGGCCCCGCCCCTCAAGCCACGCCCCAGGCTCAGGCAGAGGGCGGGGCCCCGCGGACACAGCGGTGGGCGCGATGCAGCAACCCGTTCTTCGGCTGGTGCGTCTGGGTCGGGTCCCGTACGCGGAGCTGCTGGGGCTGCAGGACCGCTGGTTGCGGCGGCTACAGGCCGAACCAGGCATTGAGGGCCTGTCGGGGACTGAGGCAGGAGCACTCCTGCTCTGCGAGCCCGCGGGGCCCGTGTACACGACCGGACTGCGCGGCGGCCTCACGACCGAGGAAACTGCGCGGCTACGGGCCTTGGGCGCCGAGGTGCGCGTCACAGGCCGCGGCGGCCTGGCCACCTTTCACGGCCCAGGCCAGCTGCTCTGCCACCCGGTGCTCGACCTGCGGCGCTTCGGCTTGCGCCTGCGCATGCACGTAGCGGCGCTGGAGGCGTGCGCCGTGCGCGTGTGCGAGCTCCAGGGTCTGCAGGGCGCCCGCGCGCGGCCCCCGCCCTACACCGGAGTCTGGCTGGACCAACGCAAGATCTGCGCGATTGGTGAGCGCCGTGAGGCGGGGCGGGACCTGAGAGTCAGGGGCGTGGCTTGAGGCCTGGGGGCGGGGTCTGACGGGACTGGACCAATGGAGGTGAGGGTAGAGCTCGTGCCGGGAGGAGGCGTATCTAGCGCGGGCTTTGAATTACAACTACCCGCTGCGTTTGAGTCTGTTTTTAACCACAGAAAACTCACTGAAGCGTTTGAGTTTTTAAGCTTCTTCACAGATACCTTATATTCAGAGGCAGAAGGCTCCTCACATCATCTAGTCCAACACGCATTTCTGTGAATGGAGAGACAGGAGAGGTGAATTCCCAGGTTATTTCCTGGGAATCACAACGTTATGGCAATAAGTGCTAATGTTCAATTTTTTAAAAAAGTATCGGAATCTGTGTTAAAACACATTTCCTGGAATTCTCATGATAAGTGCAGCTTCCTTGAAGCCACGCACCCCTTCCCTTCATTTGTTTCCTTTTCCCATCTGCGCACAATCCCTTGTTTCTCCAGAAACAATAATTGAAAACCAGTGATCTAGTCCAGTTCTCTCATCGCCCTGAGAGGGACCCCGAAGCCCGGGAAGTGCAGGGTGTCTACTCTCAGACCCTTTGACTTGCCTTGCAGGAGTCCGCTGTGGAAGGCACATCACATCCCACGGCCTGGCTCTCAACTGCTCTACGGACCTCACGTGGTTTGAGCACATCGTGCCCTGCGGGCTGGTTGGGACAGGTGTCACTTCCTTGAGTAAGGAGCTCCAGACGCACATCACCGTGGATGAAATAATGCCATCCTTCCTTGTGGCCTTTAAGGAGATCTACAAGTGCACACTGATCTCAGAGGACAGCCCCAGCTGAAGAGCACTCATAACAGCCAGGATGGTCCTGCCTTGGGAAGCACCAACTCTGACTTGAGTCACCTACTGAAACCCAGATTTTAGACCTGGCCTGTCATTCACTGATGATGAAACAATGGACAAATCATGAGCCCTGAGTCACTGTTTTCATATGTATCCTGTTTTATTTATATCTCCCCTCCCCCCAGAACTACTTGATGTGAAAAGCAACACCCACTGTGTAAAATATTAGCACTACTGTTGACAGCAGTGTCTCAGAGAAATTCAGATGTCATATATTGTCATTTCTCAGTTGTTACTTCCTCAATAGTATGTCTAACTGGGCAATTCTGGGCTCTAGTTCCTTTGGTTTTGTGGGAATCAAATCTCTGAAAGGCCCAGGTGAAGGTGATGTGATGTGGTGCTTTTTCATTCTCAAGAGACCTGGGTTCTTTCTGCAATAAAGGGAAACGGGAAGAACCTTCAAAGAATAAAATGGTGTCTTGTCTTCCTGGGTTTGATTCCTTAAGTTTGTTAATTTAGCAGTTTTTAGTTGGGTTACCCTGAACTAGGCCCAAGACTGGAGGAAGGACAAGAACAATTTCTCATACTGTACAAATGCCAAAGATAGAAGGGAGTTTTTCTTACGAGACCTCTAAGTTTGTAAGCCTGCGTATTATCTGTTGCTGTGTAACAAATAATCAAAACTTAGTGACTTAAAACAACAGTAAACATTGATTATCTCATTGTTTGTGGGTCAAGAATTTGGGGGAAGCTTAGCTGGGTGTTTCTAGGTTGGGGTCTCCCACGAACTTGCAGTTAAGATGTCAGCTGGAACTGCAGTCATTCAAAGGCTTGGCTGGGATGGAGGGTCAGCTCCCTATATGGTGTACTCACATGCCTGGTTGGTTATGGTTGTTGACAGGAGGCCTCAGTTCCTCACCATGAGGACCTTTCTACAGGGTTGCTTGATTGTTTTCACGACAGGGCAACTGGCTTCCCCCACAAGTCACAGCAAAGAGAGACAAGCTGGAAGCCATAATGTCTTTGATGACCCAGCCTCAGAAGTCACACAGTCATTTCTGTACTCTTCTAACAGATGAGCCCTGTTCAGTGTGGAAGGGACTTCACTAGGGTGACAAGAGGTGAGGATTATTAGGGACCATCTTGAAGAATGGCTATTAACAACCTATTAAGAGAGGAAAGAACTTTGAGAAGTCAGGGACCTTGTTTCCAGTTCTGCTTCTGTGGAAAAGTTGTTTACTCTCTGGTCTTCAGTTTTCCCTTAAAACAGTGCTGTTTGATAGAAATATAAGGCAAGCCACGTTGTAATTTGACATTTTTTAGGATCCATGCTAAAAAGGTAAAAGAAATGGGTGATTTTTTTTTTTTTTAGAAATGGGGTCTCACTATGTTGCCCAGGATGGTCTCGAACTCCTGGGCTCAAGAGATCCTTCTGCCTCAGCCTCACAAAGTGCTGGGACTACAGGTGTGAGCCACCATGCCTGGTCTATAATGTTAATTTTAATTAACCTAATATACAAAAATATCAATATAAAGCAATCTAAATGTTTCCTTGAGAGATTCCACATTTTTTTCCTCCTGCTGAGTCTTCAAAATATAGTGTGTATTTTACACTTATAGCATACCTCATTTTGGACTAGCCATGTTTTAAAAGTGCTCGTTGGTCATATGATGGTGCCTTAGACCAGTCTCACATCTAAAGTCCTTTTGAGTTCCCAGGGTTCGTGGTCTCACTGGCTTCTAGGAAGAAAGGTGAATCCTCCTACATCTGAGGTCTGATTTTTTTAATGCAAATAATTTATATCAGTTATTCAAGCTGAAAAGGACTTTGGAGTCCTCATTGTAAAGAGATGAAACCACAGCTTAGGAAAAAAACCTTCTCAAAGTCAAAGTAAATTAATGCCAAAGCCAGCACTGAGTCTTAGTTATAATCCCCTTTCTCGTGCTCTTTTCCTGCTGTGCACACTGATTTAGAACTTGGAACAATATCGTTTATGTGCCATGGCCATTCCATCAATATTAGTTGCTTAATGGTTGTAATTTGGTCCATATTCTTCCTGGGCATTAGTTTTCCATCCACAGGGCCACCGCTGCTGTGAGGGGGTGGGAATGAGGAGTCGTTGATAATTACCTTGTGTTATTACTGCCAAAAAGGAAAATAATTATTCTAGGAAAAGTGGAGTTAGATTCTCATAGATGGAAGACCTTGCACAGTGTTTCTACCTGTCTGGTACTCAGCCTCCCTCTCTAGCTACCCTAACTATTGACCATACAACTTGTTCTTGAATGCTTCCACAGACTGGAAAAGAAATAGGCACGTACTCAGCACTTATTTATAATGCCACATACTGTCATACTGTGTTAACCTCTTAAGTACATGCTCTCTTCTGACGGCCTGTTTGATTTTTCTGGAGCATAGAGAATCTGTACACAGTTGTAATGGCTGATTCACTTAACCTTCCTGAACCTCAGTTTCATTACATGAAACAAGGATAGTGGTAAGAATTAGGTGACAGAATTTTAGGTAAAGCATTGAGGGTATTGTTGGCACAGAGTGAAAGCTCAGTAAACCTTATCATTACCATCTGTCTTCCATGAGCCTTCTCCAGGGAAATTACCATCTGTCCTCCATGAACCTTCTCCAGGGAAATTACCATCTGTCCTCCATGAGCCTTCTCCAGGGAAGTTATCCTAGATCCTTTGAGTTCCTCTCAAGGCAATAGGCTCTGCAGGAGTAGAGCTGCTTCTGTCTTGTTTCCTTCTGCATCTCCAGCACGTAGCACTGGGCTTAACATACAGAAGGCTATTTGAAAATATTAAGGGGAATTGAACTATTTAAAGTCTCCTCCCATCTTGCCCATCTGCCTTTGCACAAGCCCCAGCTCATGTGTATCCCTTGAGGTGCAGTGCTCATGGGTGAAGATAGCAGTCTTGCTGTGGAAAGACCAGCACAGAGCCCAAGAAAATGTTGCTTCCTGTGCTGGACTTGGGGGACACAAACGGGCCCTCATGGTGCTGACCTGCAGACGTGTTATCTTTGCCTTATGGGATTTTATATATGTGTGTATGTATCTGGTTAAGTTTAATAATTGCCAACATTTAAAAAATGGGAAATTGTCATGTAAAAATTCGGTTTTCTGGCTTCTCATGAAAATTGGAGAGACCTAGAAACATTGGGCCATCTGCCTGACAATTGGAAGCAGGTATGGTGGGTTTTTTGTTTTTTTGTTTTGTTTTTGTGATAGAGTTTCACTGTTGCCCAGGCTGGAGTGCAGTGATGCGATCTTGGCTTACTGCAAACTCTGCCTCCCAGGTTCAAGTCATTCTCCTGTCTCAGCCTCCCGAGTAGCTGGGATTACAGGCATTCGCCACCGTGCCCAGCTAATTTTTGTATTTTTAGTAGAGATGGGGTTTCACCATGTTGGCCAGGCTGGTCTTGAACTCCTGAACTCAAGTGATCCACCTTCCTTGGCCTCCCACAGTGCTGGGATTATAGGCATGAGCCACCATGCCTGGCCAGAAGCAAGTATGTTTTTAAAATTGCATTTTCCAGTTAGCTGAATCACCTCCCCTCCCTTCCCCACTTGTTAACATTAGCTTCCTGGCCCCTGTAGGCATTTGAGTTGGTGACCCCAATCTAGACATTCCCTTGTTCTGAGACACAGCAGACTCTCAGTGGACCCATCATAGCACTGGTTTTATACCATGGTCATGGGGAGCCCTTTAAGAAAGGGCCATGATTTATTCATTCCTGTGTCCCTGGCCCTTAATTCAGGGCCTAGCACAGAATAGGCAGAAGAAAATATATGATAGTTTCTTTATCAAATATTTCCGGCTCTCTGCTTTCTTGACACATGGCAGGATTGTGCTTTGTGACCCCCACATGGGTGAGTAGGGCAAAGGTTAACATTTTCTGGTTAATTTATGAATGGAAGTGGCCTGTCACTTCT